TGTAGTAGGCCAGTTGTTAGGGACGAGCCTTGAGCACTCCTGGGAATCATAAGTGGAATGGCACTAGTCCCAGTTTTATTGTGGTTGTTACTGTCAGCTGGAGATGTGATGTGGGAAGGGTTAGTTGGGTATTGTCTCATTGTCCAGTAGATCATGCCTTAGTCATGCCTGAGAAGAGGACTAATACCCTAACAAATGACCTGTTGAAAACTAAGCAATGCCATCTACCCTAATACCTGTACTCATACCACTATTCTCTTCCTGTGAAGTAGACACAGGCCTAGAAATACTACTTGCTTCCACATGAACCCAGAGTTCTGATTACTTACATAATCTAAACCTCCTAAAAGGTTAATCGTCCTTCCGTTGACTACACTCCTCCCTCACCACAGCCTTTCTATCTCCCCACCAAATTCCTATGAACTAGGATCATCACACATAGGCTCCTAATCACCACCCTTGGTCAACAATGACTACTCCTAACATACTATCTCCCCCCAAAAACAAGCCCAATGAACCAGCACTGAACAAATCTCATCTCCCACACTAGTACTGTCCTGCTGACTACTGTCTCTCATAATCATAGCAAACCAAAAACAAAGCTTGGACCAGAGCTGACATCCTCCCACCACAAAAAGGAAAGAGGAGACCAGGTCAGGAAACCTGGAAACAGACCCTTAATTAAACCCTAGCAGCTTCTGCTGCAATAAGACAGAGAGAGGAACTGGGGTGTCTTGAGGTATCATTAATGCAGGTATTCACCAACATATCCCTTGACATCCAAAGTTCAAAACCAGAAGCAGACGTCAACTGTTAGGGCAGCACAGGCTGTTCTTCCTTTTTTCTTCTAGCTCAGAGCAAGCAGACATCAGGACCATGCCTGGCCCAGGTAATTAACAGCCATAGGCAACTGCCTGTCATAACTATAATAAAAACTAGATCTGTACAATGTCCCAGTGTAGTAGTTTTCCATCCACTTTCAAAATAAAATAAGAAAGCAAATATACTAGAAGTGGGAAAAAACAGATGTAGCAACTTAAGTTCACAAATAAGAACCAAACTAGAAGACAAGATAGGAAAAAACTGGTTCAAGTGACCTTCATACATCATACTTCAGGGGTTTTTTTCTACTCTTTACTACAGACTATGTAAGATTGTTTAGCACATTAATGCCTTGCTGCCTTATAAACAAGGAAGAAAATTAATTTTAATTGGGTAAACAATTAACCTTGAAGAACATTTCATACTTCTAAGTCTAGACAAATTATTGTCTGCTCTTGGTTTTAATGAAAATATATATACAATGTCATTCTTCTGACAGAAATCTTACCTCCAAATCAAGGACTCACTTTTGCTGTTAAACTTTAGTGTGTTTGAAAGCAAAAGTTAAATACATAAAAATCCAAGAAATTATATACTTAAGAAGCCTTCTACAGATAAGAAATTTAGTTTGAATGAAGTTTTAGTCCTGAAAGACAGAAAATTTTTACAGCTGACATCAGCTGGCACTTCCTAGTTTTAAAGATGCTATTGTGTTCATAGCTGAATTCTGGCCTCTGTTTTGAAAACTTTCTTTAGAGAAATCTGAGCTTCTCACTGTGTGGAACTGAACTGTAAACAAGTATTTTTGCTTTGATCTGAATTTCCCGATTATCTGAAATGGATCTGTATGGTGACGTTTGGATAGGATTGCATTCAAATTTCCCAAATTTTTTATTTTATTAATATGGTTAAGAGAAATCCACATTAATATAGTTAAGAAAAGTCCATGCCTCCATAACTGTGGTATGGCAAAAAAAGATAGACTGTTGTACAGATTTTACTCTTTATCAAAAGCATAACTCTAAATGTCTAAAATGTCTTATTCCGAAACTTCCCTTCCAAATTCTAGAAGTTAAAATTTTCAGACCTTTTTGTCCTCTTCTGACCTGTTAAAAATTGCTGTTTGTCATCCTGAGATCATCAATATTGCAAACACCATGACTGTTTCATGACAACTGCTTTTAGTACGTATTATATTATTCCCACAGTAATAAATTTTACAAAAATAATTAATTCCTTTTATTTAAGTTGTCTTCTATTATACATGGGCCCCAGTTTTTGAAGACTATTTAGGGCAAGAATTAAACTCAAATGCATGGCGTCTATATTCTGAACTTGGAATGCAAGACCATTCAAAGTAAATATTCCAGAAGCCTTTTACGTATGAGGCCATGTCTAAAGCTTGACAAAAGAAAGTAAGGAACAAGTTGTCTCTCCTACAATTGTTTACTCATTCTTTATTCAGTTCTTTCTCCTACTTCATGAGTCTCTTATTCCATCACACTGCAGAAACAAACGCAGACCTTCTGGTGCTGACTTAATATATTACTGTCACTTTCTTTTTAGGAAGTCTATTATCCAAAACCAAATGAAAGTAAGATTTTAAAATAATGCATAGCTGTTTCTTGGCTTTCTTCCAAGTAGATTCTCCAATAATTCTTCAATCTATGCTTGCTTTTAAACTCCATTGACAGAAATATTTTGTTGTTAAACACATCCCTTCATTCTTTATCTGAAGTGAAGTTGCAAATCAACTATAATCAAGGACAAAGTGTCCAGCCCGAAAAATTCCATCTGCATCTCTAAATTTCAGACAAATCCAGACCCTGGTTTTGCTTTGAACTCTTAAGTCAACATCTGTGAAATGCTTAGGCTCAACTACAACTTTTAGAGACTTCTAAATATGCAAATATGCATAAATACAAAGCTAACTCACTGCTATCCTAGGCTAGAAAGAAAAGATGAATATCATTAATCATTCTCCTCGTAAGAAACAGTTTGAAAATCAAATTTTCAGGAAATTTATGTGAAAACATAATGAACTTTATCCTGATTCCTAGGATGAGCCCCCTCTCCCTATTGACTCCAATGGAAGTCTGGGGAAACCAAGCTCTTCTGGATTTCCAGAGTTCAGAGCAGAGATTTCAGCATTGGAAGGAATGCAGAGAAAACTAGAAAATACCTCTTGAACTAGGAAAGAAAACTTGTTATAAGGTAGGAAACCAGTGCTAGTGCACAAGAACCCACCTACATATTTGAACCTGTACCTGCTGTTCCTGATGTCTTCCAGGAATCAACAGAACAATGTATAAGCACAGGTTTGATAAGAATGGAGATTGGCTGAGAATACTGAGGCTGGATTTTCTTTGAGCAGAGGAAGTTTATAAGCCAGGTTAGCATTTTTCACAGATCATCTCCTTGTCTGCAGCTCAGAGAAGAGGAATCTTTTACAGCCCTATCAAAATGATGTTTGCTCAAGCAAGAGAAGTGTGTTTGAGCTTTGAATATTTTCTAGTTCACTCCCCAGTCCATAAATCAAGACAGTGGCCATCACAGCTGCAGCATCTCCAGTTTCAAACCATTTTCTGATAATATGAATACCTTTGCCAAGGGAGCCCTCTTGATGCGTCTTCTCCACTCATGTAGACTCCAAAATTTTCCCGACGGAAGCACAACCTGACGCTGTTTTTATTCTAACACATCTATAAGCCTTCAGACAGGTTTACAGAAGCTGTACAGCAGCAATGCCCTCTCATCAGCTTGCCATATACATGGTGGGGTGTGATGAACAAGGACTGTGATCTTTCATTGACAAGTCAAGCTTGCAGTGCTGAGGAACCCAAAAAGGCAGTTTCCCCACCCACCACTGCTTTCACACAGCTTATTTCTTCTACCTTGAAATTCCCACTTTCTATTCACTGTATCTTGTTGTACACAAACACAACACCTACCCACCAGATTTCCAGATTTTGTGCTCTGCAGCCATGAGGCCACTTTCAGCATAACAAGGAGTAGAGAAAAGTCATCTGGGACTCTTTCCATCATTGCTGGATCTACCATGAGAAGGACAATATGCCACTGAGAATTATCACAACAAATTAGCAACAAATAACCAAATAAAAAATATAATAATAAGAAAGCCACTGAGATGAAAAATAGTTTTTCAATGCACTGATAAAAATAAGGAGTAATTAAGAAAATAATAATAATAAAAATAAAATAATAATAATAGTGTAATTTGACCATTTGTTATGTGGGCAAAGTAGATGATTCTAGAGATCCTTACCGATGTCACCTTTCAAGTAAATCAAAACTCAAAAACACTGACTTAATTGGTATCCTTTCCAGAAAGAGCAAGATATGTGACAATGTGCAAAATGCCATGTTCAACAGCATGTTTCAGTATCTTTCAACAAGTGCTATAATAAAAAATCTGTGGCTAAGATGTTCCACAGATATTCACATTTCAACACTAGACTTACACAAATTCAATTCTCTCCTTTTCTTGTGGGATCACGCTATTTGGGGAAAGAGGTCTTGTGAAATTTCTAATAAAAAGCCTAGTTCCTGGAATAAATTTTTATTTTGTCCTTGAAGACCTAAGTAGTGCTATTTCACTACAGAATACAAAGCAAGTGAATGAAAAACAAAGGGCATTTAGCTGTTAAAGGTCAAAGCCTACAGTCTTACACAGACATTTCAAAATCCTTTGCAGGACTGTATCCTTTGCAGGACTGTGTCTTTGCAGGTAGAGCTCCACTTCGAAGAAACGAGAGAAAGAGCCATTACAGCAGGTGAAAGCACATAGATATGGGGTGAGGGGCAAGAGGCTTTAGGGATGTTTTCTGAAGGCAGCACATTTAAAAATGATGTATCTTCTGTCATCTACAGCCACTCAAGCCAGCTGGGAGTAGATAACAGAAGAATAAAATAGTGATTCCTCAATGTTTGCTTCAGTTTTGAGGAAAATGTTGACATACTAATGGAGTATTCCCTTATTGATATACCAGTAATTAGTTTTCTAAAACCTCTCCATATTATTATTTTAATTTAAAGGAAGATTAAATAGATGAGACTAAATGATTGACCAAAGTGAGATCACAGAATCATAGAGTCAGATGGGTTGAAAAGGACCTCTGAGATCATCAAGCCAAACCCTTGATCTGCTACCACCACAGTTACTGGCAGACTACGGCACTCGGTGCCACATTCAGTCTCTTCTTAAATACCTTCAGGGACAGAGGATCCATCACCTCCCTGGGAAGCCCATTCCAATGCCTGATTACTCTCTCTGTAAAGAATTTCTTCCTAATATCCAACCTAAGCCTCCCCTGGCAGAGCTTGCAACTATGCCCTCTTGTCCTACTGCTGATTGCCTGGGAGAAGAGACCAAACCCCACCTGGCTAAAACCTCCTTTCAGGAAGTTGTAGAGAGAGATGAAGTCTCCCCTGAGCCTCCTCTTCTCCAAGCTAAACAACCCCAGCTCCCTCAGCCTCTCCTCATAGGACTTGTGTTCAAGTCCCTTCACCAGCCTGGTTGCTCTTCTCTGGACCTGCTCCAGCACCTCAATGTCCTTCCAGAACTGAGGGGCCCAGAGCTGAACACAGCACTCCAGGTGTGGCCTCACCAGTGCTGAGTACAGGGGAAAGATCACTGCCCTGGTCCTTCTGACCACACTGTTCGTGATCCAGGCCAGGGTGCCACTGGCCTTCTTGGTCACCTGGGCCAGTGACAAAGCCAGCATTAGATTTCCTGATATCTCTAGGTTCAATATATTTGTCATATCTTACAAAAATTTGTTAAAGCATATGCCTCTTTTATTAGTTCACTTAGATATGTTTTAAATGCCATATGTTGAAATCAAACTTTATATTCCATACTATCTATTCTGTCTTTGAAAAAAAAAACAACCATAAACAAATGTTTTCAAAAAGTCACAATCACGGTAAAATTTGAAAAAGTAACAACAGTTTGCCCTTGGAAGGGAGTAAAAAGCCGTTAGGAGCACTACAATTTTTTTTTCCTTTTTTTTCCTTTTTTTTCTTTTTTAATAAAAAAATATATGGCTCAGTATATTTACCATATAGCCAAGGAGTAATGCTAACAGAATAATTTCATACCAGGGTTTTGCCACTACCAAAGTACTTTAAATTATTTGTGCTACCATAACTTTCTCAAAGGAATTCCTGCCCTCTAATCAGAGTCATTCAAGCTTTATTCCAGCAACATGTAACAGTAATGCTGCAGCTTGTGGGGCTAAAAGTAAATTGAGAATGCACACTTCACCCAGTCATCTCTCCATCAGAATTTCTTCATCTGCAAGTCCTGTAGGGTAGATAAATACCACACATGCATCCCTGTCCCAAAGGACAATCAGAATTTCAGGAGTTCACAATTTGCCTATGGCATCATCATTTTCCACAGCACTTTACACAGAAACAAGGGAAAATTATCTCACTGAAAACATTGCAGTTTGGAAAGCTGTCAGGGTAAGGAAAATTTGCAGAAGTGAACAAAGCAGTGCTATCAACCAGCGCAGGTTGGTTAGCAGCACAGGAGTGTGCCCAGTGCAAGTTCCATGCCACCCCAGTACACCTGCTGTACACTTGCACCATCCCAGCTCCTCTACAACAATGGAGGAAGTGAAGGCAGAGGCAGAGGACATGGCTGCCTAAAGGGCTTGAACTTTGGAGAGACACTTCCAGGATAACAGCTACAATAATGGCAGGAGAGGACAGGAAATGGGAAAAAGTAGAACCTGGTGCTGAAAGGACCTCTACCAGTCGCAGCAGATGACCAGGCAAAGGCACTAGGGAAAAGAACGGAGACCACTTGCACCTCAGCCCTGACCAGAACACTCTTGCTCTTCCTGGCCACAAAGGGGTGCAAAGAACTCCTCCTCTGGAGCCTCCCCATCACCTGTTAGGATTCATGCTGACTAGCTCCTGATGCACATTTAAGCCATATGTACCATAGCTATTTTCAGAGCCCAGTGCTAAGAGTCCATGACTGCTCATGCCACATTTTTCAGTGGTTGTATATGTGGTTTTGGTAGTTCTCACCATCCAAAGCAAGACTGCCTTCCCAATCTGTCTTGCTCAAGTAATATGAAACAAAAGGTTTTTGTTTTCCCTGCATATTTTTAGTTGAAAAATTGCCCATCACACATGAATGTGTTGAGACTTAAGCCTCCATATTAATTTCTGTAACAATGCTCAGGTTTTTTATTCAGCTGGGTATGTAACATAGAATAGAACAGCAAGTGTTATTAATCATAAGCTAGCCAGAGCTAATGAGAATGTGTTTTTACTTCACAAATTTGATCTCCTGAAAGTATATGTATCTGGTACATTCTATGAAACTCAGCCCTCCCACTCTTGGAGCTACTCTGCTCAAATCACCCAAAAGCTACCTGCTTACAGTTGGTGTAGCAATGAACCCAACTTGTGAGCCCTGTGGAGAGGCAGGATATATTTATTTCAGCTCAAAGCTCTGTTTTTTGGTTTCCTCATCTCGCTGGCTGAGCACTTTGGTGTTTGCCCAGGCTGAGCTATATGGGAACTTTCTTCAAGAGGCTTCCTTTATCAACTGATGGAACTAGGGAACTAGAGAGTAGATCACTAAAAAATAAAAGGAGGAATATTGTTTTCACATGTAAAGATTGATATTTCCTGCAAAACCAGACTGACAGATCCTAAAATTACCATAAATGTGGTGGCCTGTTGCAGTAGTAGGTTTTATCTCATTCTCAGAAAATCTTTAAGAAATTAACAAAACTCTACCAAGGAAGCAGAGAACTTAAATAGCAACTTGAAATGCTCCTGAAGCCTGTAGCCCCTGCCTCCCTTTGGGACTACAGGCTTTTACCATATAGTCCTTGAACTATGCAACTATACAAGATAATTTAAAATAAATAGAGGAGGAAGGTCCATTCCCACTGTATTCATGAGGATCTTGCTGTGATTTCTGTTACATTTTTACAAAGTCCTGGGAATTTTTTCAAATTGTGTTTCCTAAGTTTTGGGGGAGCAACATCAGGAGATATGTTCTTTCAAGTTTTTATCATTGTCCTGGGGCATGGGGCCACTCCGAACCTTGAATTCACTAGAACCTACATTTACTGCCACAACATTTGCTCAGCCTTGCATCATTTCATTGCTAGGCACAGTTCCATCTAAGCATCCACCTCACTGGTTCTTTGGTAGAGGTGGTAGGGAGAAGAAACTTTTTCATTTCTATGAAGATTTACCTGAGCCCAAGCTGTCTCCTTACAATTTGCAGTGGAAAATTGGAGCAAATACTCATTCTGCAGAGCTTTGAGTGGAGGAGGACGGTGTTTTCTGTCTGGAAAAACTGAGTGTTATTCAAAGTTAATGACTATATCACAGTGCCTACCTTTTCATCTCTAGATGCAATTGAAATGTACTTTCACTTCTAGAGACTATTTCATATGTGGAAATCAAAATTTGTATAACTATTTTCCTTTATTTTTATTTCCACATTTTCTAATAAGCATTTTTAAAATTCAATGGCATTTTTGCAGTGTCTTTCCTCTCATGTTAGTTGCTGCTTTTATTTTACCGAATAATAAAAATTAGAGGATGTTGGACCAGCAGAAGTTACTTGATGTTCTAGGGCTTCCAGAAATATTTACCAAGCCTACTACACTAATGTTCCCAATAGCATCTGAGTGGACAAAACAAGAATAACACTCAACTGGAGCAATCGTGTCCAGGTGTTGCATTATTTACCACTAGCAGAAGCTTGATAGCAAATTTATAGCAAAGTCACAAAGTCACACCAGGTCATGTTGAAATGGTTGTTGCTCAGCATCCAGTTAGATGTTCAGTGGGGTCACAACACTTCGAGTGTGGCTCAACAGAGAAGAGGCAGATGAGTTAAAAAAAAAAAAAAAAAAAAAAAAAAATGTTCAAATAGATAAGGAAGACACAATCAAAATATGTAATGATTTGAGCTGCAGTAGTTGAAAAAGGACAGGAAAGATAACTGAAAGTGGTCTGCAGTTATGCAGAGAATTTCAGCAAAGAAAGGAATTTTTTTCAAATCTTCTGTAATTAGGACCCAAAATGAAGGATTCTTCTCAGAGGTTACATTGTTTTCTATATTCTATTCTTAGCTATGCACCTTGATCCTTTTACCTCATGGGCACCCTAAGCATCTAACTCTCATCTTATTCCTACTGTAGATAGATGAACACATAAAAGTTACAACCCACAGAGGCAGCTTTAAGGCACTTGATAGTAATCCCTCAGAGAGAACCTATGTAATAAATATTATTAAATAATACAGACGTGTTAGAAGGTTACTTTAGGGAGATACAGTATTTTATACTTTGAAAGTGACTAACTTATCAAGATACTATTCATTTCATGATAGGCAACACTGTTTCCCTTTGTCTACTATTCTGATCAAGAGATCAAGAGTAGCGAAAGGAACATCATCTGCTGCAACTGAATCAAGAAAAATATCATAAAAGGAGTCTCTATAAGATGTTTTACTCCCCTAACTGCAAAAGCCTTTACATTTTAAAGGTTAATGAGCAGTCTGAAAAACTTCTTTTACATGCAAAATAAACCTTTTTTTTTTTTTTTTTTTTTTGAAAAGTGTGGTCTTTTATTATTTCAGGATCCAGATGAAAGCAACTAACACTACTAAATAGCTGAAGAGAAGAGAGATATAAGCAATAGAGATTATAAATGAATTCTGGACTAAGCTCCAGATCTCACAGGGTTCTCTAAAGCAGTAGTTCTACTTCCAAAATATTGGCTATACTGCAAGAAAGAAACCTCATGCTACAAGTCTTAAATCCATTATGCACAAGTGAGCACACACTTTGAGTGTTTGACTGCAACCTGAAAGGGATTGAAAAGCCTTGACCTGATCAGTTTGATAAGGGCATACTCAAAGCCAGTGATACCAATTGCAGGTTAAGGAGTGTGTTAGACACCAGATCAGTTATTATTGGTTCAGAACCACCTTACGGGGAGTGTGTGTGTGTGTGAAGGGGGAATGAGTGGGTTCAACCCCACAGAGTGGGGTGGTGTTCTATTCCTCATGGCAGCTCCTGGAGCCCCCTGGGGAATCCCCAGAGTAGCTGCCAGTCACAAACAGCCCAGGAAAACTATAACACACCACACCTCCTATAACACACCACACCTCCTGTAGCCCCTCACCCAGTCTCAGATTGGCAGCGGCAGAAAGGACACTGCCCCTCATCCAGGCCTGGAACCCCGAGACCCTGCCTGGAGGGGTTGGCCACAGGGACCAGAGCAGATAAAACCATAGGCCTGTGTTTGCCCTGTGTCATGGCCCTGCCATTGGATTTGTGAGAGTTGGCCTTCTACATGGCTTCTACAAGGTCTTCTTCTCTCTTCTTGCTCCCTCTGCTCTCTTTCTTTGCTCCTTTCTTGATGCTTAGGGTGGCTTGGAGCTGGAGGGATTGGATCTTTATTAAAGCATTGTGAAATTGGTTGGATTTTGCCTTAAGTGTTGTGGATTTATTGGATCTTGATTCAAGTGTTGATTTATTGGATTTTGACTTAAGTGTTGTGGATTAACAGTATATGTTGAGTCAATACTGTGGTGGAACGTTTTTGTCTAGCTTGTGCAGTGTCCTTTTGAACTTTGGTCAAGTTCCCTTATTTGGTCCCCTAAATTAATCAAGAAATTCCTTGGGAATAAGTCCATGGCTTATTCTCTTGATGCCATCTCAAGGTATTAAAGAACCCTATATCTGCATATTAAAGTAAAACTCCTAGCCAAGTCCATGAGCTGACAGGTCCCGGGGCTTGGAGTCTTATAGAGAGTCACCTCTAGAGCACATGGAGCCTGACCCCTCCAGGCCCTGGAGCCAGGACCTCATGCCTTCTCAGGTATACCCTTCCTTGCTGCAGGCTGTCAGCACCAAGCAAATACAAGGAGACCTGATACTCCTCAAGGAGAATACTGCTGAACAGTATTCAAGTGTTACTTTATTCTAAACAAAGTTAGTTGTCAAACTGACTTATCCTCCATCATTGTTTTGCCTCAGCAGATAGGACTAGATGTGACATGCCTTAAATTTAGATAGGCTTTATCATACACTTATGTAGAATTCTCAGAACCAAAGTGAAAAGCGAAATGTGGTCAAGATAAAATTACCAAAACAAATGATCAGAAGTGAAAATTTACAGCTGATAACAGTGCACAGCAAAGTGGAAAGTAGTACATGTGTGGAGGAACAATCACAGGCATGCACATGCAGAATCAGGGAAGATAGCTGGAATGCGTCAAAAACTGAAGATGAGTGAACATTTGGTTAGAGTATTGTGCTAATAACACCAAGGTTGTGGGTTACAGGTTTTATCTCCATACAGATCACTTAAGAGTTGGACTCAGTGATCCTTGTAGGTCCCTTCCAACTTAGAACATTCTGTGAAATCTGTGAACACAATAACATAAGATAAAAAAAGATAGATTTCATTTCACTGTATTGTATGTAAAACACAACAGCTGATATTCTGCTTAACTTAGTGCTGGCAGAGCATTACCTGGAGTATTTCATCTTGTTTCCAAATCACACTTACAGAAATACATTATTTAGAGACAGTTCAGAAGAGAGCAACAGAAGTTATTAGAAGCAGGGAAAACAGCAGCCAAGAAAAAAATCTGGAAGAAATGGGCTTAGTCTACAAGGAACATTGAGACTGACCATCAAAACTTTCTGATAATTCATAGAAAGTTGCAGAGAGGAGCATAAGTTCCCCATGTCCAATGCATGATGTGCCTCAGAAAAATATTTATTTGTAAACTTTAGATAGGTATTTAGAAAGCCTCCTAACTTTTAAGACAATTAAAAATTTCCAGTGAGACTTACCTCAGAGGCACTTTTGCAATTCTGCAAAATTGTTTGCTAAATATCTTTGGATCTTTTTATTTTAGTTCACTTGTCCTTATTTCAAAGCAAATTAATCTACTCTCTGACTTCCCAAATTTTCTTTCATTAATATTTCTGAAGTTAAGAAAAAGGAAATCCAAAACAGGCCATAAAAATGCAGAAATAGTAAACAAACACATTTAAGTAATTTCAGGAAATTCAAGTAATGTTGAAGGTTTTTCTTGTAAGAACACACTCAAGCACTATTGACGTAAAGAGCCTAATCTCTTTTCATTTCCTTAAATATTGTAAAAACATGGATTTCAAAGATCAAAAAGTGGCATTTAATGACAAAGACACTAGTAAACAAAGTAACTGACATTTAGAGTAAAATGTGAAAAGACAGGATTCATTTTCTGTCTTTAAACAATACATCACAACACATTTTTCTGCTCTGTCAGCTGAGCATTATGAAGAGATAGGAACATTAGGGGAAACTTTAGATGCAGAATACATCTTTCAAAATTAAAAAAAAAAAAAAGTAGCTGCAGGCAAGAGAGGATTTTTAACATTTTCAAAACCTCAAAATTTTACATAAAAATTGCTTTTGAAATGCTGAAATAAGAAGATATCTCAGTACAGGAAAACCTGAACCCTACTGCTGCTCTGAAAAATCGTCATGAGAATTCCTTCAGAAATTGTGTCTGGATGTTCAAAGGGGCATGCCGTGTCTCCATGATTTGAATGTCCTGGAGTTAGCACCAACTGTTTCAAGCCCAGAAATTCATGTCCACAACAGAATACCTGAAAGCCCATGGCACTCACAGCTGCTCTCTGCCAGCAGGATTGCCAGTAGCCAAATGATGACAGGGATTCAGCTCTTGGAGCCTCGGATCCTCGTCTACATAGAGAACCAGGAAAGTTTGGCTTGGCTGGCTGTCCCAAAGTCATGTGCTTGTCTCTTCAGCTCCAGAGTAAAGTTACAAGATGGATTTTCACAGAGCTGGGAAAAGAAGAAACATCTGCTATGTATTTAGACACATTCTTTCAGAAAATACTTTCAGATTTTGAAGAAAACTGCTCAACAGAAGATATCTCAAAACAAGATATCTCAAAACAAATTTTTTGCATAAAATAATTTGTACTTTGTGGTCACATGAATTATAAAGGAATAAAAGGTGTGAGAATATGTAAAGAGAAACAAATCTGATTGTGATATGAGTGACTAGCATATGCTGTATGCTTCTATTTCAAATATTAGTAAAAATAAAGCAAACTTCTAGCACAACTCACAGTAAAGGGCAGAAGCAATTTTAGAAATAATTGGGTTTCAAACTGAATTCACACAATCAGAGCAAAGGTTCTGATAAATACAGCTGTGCACTAAGCTGAAATTCACATTCTGTGTATATTTTCATCTTGAAGGCCTGTTAATTGGAAGAAATTGTACAAGTCAAAACTTTCATGTCTGGCAAGCAGTTACCTGAAAGCCAGCTATGAATGTTTTACAGCAGAGTTTTAGCTATGCACCATTTTCTTTACAAGTTTGGGAAGATTTGTACTAGCTGACATGTTTTTCAGAGTTAGTTATTTGAGTTTTAGACTGGAAATGACTATTGGAACATTCTTAGAGCCACATCTCATTTCTCAGACCAAAATGATAAACATATTTGCCAAAAAAATTGGATCTTGAAGGCCTTATTTACTTTTGTAGCATTTATTTGCTTTAACCTAGATAATTTTCAAGTTTTCCTCAGGGGAAGGATTTTTCATATTTAAGGAGTTTGGGAACTTGCCCAAACAAAAGGTAGTGGGAAAGACAGGAGAGAAAGTAGAAATAACATTAAATTACACTTAATGAGTATTTCTCAATAAAGGAAGGAGAAAAGTACTTGAAAGGAAACAGTTCAGGACAGGATGAACATACCCACATCTGATGAGAATTTTCCTAACATTTTGGTATTTCCATGCATCTAGAAAAGATACTATCATCATGATGACACAATAGTAAGAAATGGAAGAATTTTTTTATTCACCCATCTCTTTCTAGAAAGTCTTGGTGCACAGCTGTCTCAATTGAGCTGCCAGAAGTTTCCCTAACCTTTGTGTCTGTGAATGACTGCAGAAACTAAGGTCCAGAAGAAGCTAAAAAAGCTAAAGGAGTTAATATGAAAAATGATTGGTGACAGTGATTAGAATGTAAAGATGTGACTTGTCACATATGTGAGACAGAAAAAGGGTTAAGGGGTAAAAATACTGTGTGGAGAGAAGTATCCTCAGAGGGCTGA